TCACGAGGGTAATACTAACCAAACGTGGCTCAGGCCACGAAATCAAATATAGATACAAAGCCCATGAATATCAAACGTGAAAACAAAGTTCACAAAACAAACTAGTTAGTTTTTAACCATAGTGCACTATGGGTTAATGAAACTGCCATTAGCAGTAGTGTTCTGTTAGAGTCCTCTAAAATTACGTTTAAAATATGCGAGAAATAATTACTTCTAAAATACAATTTATATTTTCAATATCTAACTCGCATGAGTCATTTCAACTTCCAATCTAATACTTGTTGAAACTAATACATCATAAAAACTATTCGAGCTTGCGTTAATTGAATAGCCATACATTTCCAGAGTTTAATAAACAAACTAATTTCACAACTCTTTGAAATATATTTCTTGAGAAAATAAATGCACATATCATCATCAAATTTTCCATTATTAATGTTCCATAATTTCCAAAACTAATGTAATTCATAAGAGTAAAATGTTTCAATAAAAGTCTATTACAATAAAATAAATTAAAGGGAATGTTATTCACTTACTTGTTGTAGTTTCAAATTTTCAGAATATTCTTTCTTCAGTTTCTATCAGGATCCTCTTCTTCCACATGTCTTATAAAGACATAAATAAATTTTAATAAATTTTAAATGTATTATACAATCTCAACCAATCCTCATCATTTAAAATTTCAAAATCAAACTTCATGCTTTACAGTTGGTCCAAGTATTATCATTCATATTACTAATTTCTTCCAATTTATTTTAGTCATGCCCTTCTATTTACTTGAAGTAGAATTTCACCTGTAATTTTCACCAAACACTTTAGATATATTATTTCTAACTATTCAATTTAAAATATCCAACAATTTACTATCATCCATGTAAATGCCAAAATTTTAAATGGTTACATAAAATTTCATGGTTACATTTCTTTGAAGTGTACAAGTTCATTCATAATTCCATATCTTCCATATTCATACTTCTTCTTCTAGGCATTCTTTCAAACACTTTATGATTATATTTTTCCCAAGCTTAGACTAATCTTTTCTTTCAAATTTCAGCTTCCATAAATCTTACACTACCAATATCCATTATGATCCCAAGAACCAACAAAATTTCAAACACTCAAAAATCAAGTTTAATTCCTCTTACAAGCATTGTAACAACCATCTTATAGGCACAAATTTCAAATTTCACACCTAAGCTCTTTCTCTTTTAAATCCATTCTAACAATTATTCAAGATCAACCAACCCAATAAATCAACTTAGCTTACATATTTTGAGCCATATATATATATATATATATCATTGTTAGTCCTCAGGATAGATTTTTCTAGATCAATTGAATTTCTTTCTTCTCCCATTTTCAGCACGGGTAGCAGAGGCAACACATAGAAATTTATAATCTCCACAATATCATCCTAGCCACTCACACACATAGATTATACAAAGAGAAAGAGGAGAGATTGAAGCTTCTAACCTTAGATGAACCAACACACATGGATAGAGGAAGGAGAAAGCAACTTCGAATGGTGAAAAAGGAAGGACTACCATCGTAAATGAAGAAGAAGAGTGAGCATATCAATAACCGAAAAACAAATAAGAGGAAGAAATCTTAGCTCACCCAAAGCATTTGTATGCACACAAAACAACAAGGTGAAAGAAAGAGAGATTATGCATACTTGAAGCAGTGACAGAGGCAGAAGAACAATGATAAAATAGGGAAAGAACTCATAGCTGAGGCGAACGGACTAGCAGCGGGCACACCGGTGACGACGACCCACGCAAACGACGGCGCTAGCTACAGTGAGGAGGAAGAAGGCAGTGATCAGTGGGAGGCAGAGCAAAATGTCGGTCAGACTCTAAATCCCTCTCTGCTCCAGAACCATCAAAAAAAAGGAAGAAGGAAGAGTTTAAAAAATCTGATGGGGATAAGGGCAGTTTAGTAATTTCTAGAAGCAAGAAAATAAAATAAAATCTCACCCTTTTTGCCTCAGCTAGATTCGAACCTCAGACCTATGGGGAGAATGTTTACTCAGTTGCTACTACAATAACTTTCCTTATCATATATATCCTAAGAATTAATATAATAATTATTAAAACTCAAACTCATATATTTATTTAATTTTTTATTATTTATTATTTTTTGGGCTATTACATCATCAAACCCCCACACTTAAACATTAGCTTGTCCTCAAGAAAAAGAAAATCACTATACAAAATATTAAAATAAATTGTGCATATTGCAAAGTCACATACAATCCAAACTTTTAAGAACTTGATCTAACTAGAAACCTTTCTCCCCTTCAAAAAATAAAAGCAGTAAGGCAATTAATTAAGCAAAGATAATTTTCAACAAGTTATTCCTCACCAATCAATTGTTTACACTCTACGCTCAAGGTGTTACAGGTTAGTGTTTCACTCAATTCTATCTATTGTAAACCATCTACTATAGGCTTGCTTCTCATATTAATCTCCACTTAATTATGCCAAAGCACACACAAATCAAAAGGATTTTTCAAAAGTTATAATGTAAAAGGTATGGTGATGAAAAGATTAGATGGATTGTCACTTTTATACCAACTCTAATAACGTTATAGGCATTTTTGCTCTTAGCCCATGATTTCGTGGGTATTTTTGCTATTGGCTAACGATTTCATGGGTATTTTTACCCTTTATTAGTCCACGTCAGCAAAGACTAGCGCGTGACATGTATAATCAATATTTAATAGTTAAAATTAATGGCGTTAGGTCAAAGTTAATGATCTGATTACTTTTACACCTACTCATATAACATTATGGGTAGTTTTGCTATTTTACTCACTTTAGAATATTGGGTGGTTGTGGTTGACCACTTTGTGGGTATTTTTTTCCCTTTACCCTTAAATTTAACACATCTTCACTATTATTCTTTTTTTGTTTCATGATCATATATATCATTTATTTCTAATTTTGTATATAACATAATAAATTTAATCTCATAAATATCTTTTGAATAATTTTATTTAATTTTAAATTTTTAAAATTATTCATAAGAAATTTTTTCAACAATTTAAATGGTAATTTTATAAATTATTTCCTATAATTTAAAATTATATTTAATTTTTTAAAAATACTTTTAGTGGAGACAAATGTTGTCATCAAAAGTAATTATACAAATTATTTATAATTTTTAAATTATTTTTTTATAAAAATACTTTTGATAGTAACAATGTTAGTTTTGGTAGAGACAATTAAATGTTGCACTTTTAGTAGTGATATTTAAAAGTCGCTATTAAAAATCTATTTTTTTGTGATGACTTTTGGGAGCGACATATTGTTGCCGTTGAAAGTGGACTATTGGTGTTTATAAGTTTCAAATTGCTCATAATCCTTCATTCTTGCAATGTTCTAGTAGAGCTTTTTTGTTCTCCTTCATTTTTTCTTTGTTCATTTTTTTTTCAAGCTACAAATCGCTCTTATTTTTGCAAAAAAATGATCATATGTCACGACGCATGTACCACATGCTGCGATGTGTGGTAGAGAGAGGGACCTTCATGCTCTGATAGCTTGTGCACCATGGCATGCTATACACGCATCGCGACATGTGGCACAAATTCATCTTTTTTATTTTTTTTCTCACTTTTTGACATTCGAATGTCTTGACTTCACTTCGGACTCATTCCTAAGGCTAAGCGAATAACCCAAAATATCCATTAGCCCTTTATAATTACAAACCATATTAGTTTACTTAATTAACTTCATTTATTCGGCTAATTAGGAGTTAAATTCTTTAATATGTTACATAATGAGGTCTCATAAACACATTACCTAAACATGGCAATTTCAATTAACACGTCAATTCTTGGGTCAGTTTGATTGTGTTGTTATAAAAATGATATTTTTGATTTTATATTGATTGATATTGATTATAGTTATTACTTGAGCATGGTGTTGAATTCGTGATATTTATCTCCACATATGAACAAACGATTCGGCCCATCTTTACATTATATCATACGCTCATCTTTTATTAATAGAAATGACCATTCTGTAATTATAATACTCAGGCAATTATCCTTCTTTTTTTTTTTTTTTTCCCGGCTAGCAAGAATTAGTAAATTATCTGTGTAAGCGTGAGATTTGTTCAAACTAAAGAAGAAAATAGCTATGATAGTTCATGTCAAGTTAATAAAGGGGGAAAGCAAAAGACAAGTCATGTCAATTACCCAACAGTTTGGATCAACAATGACGTGTCATTGACCTTTTTGGGAATAAAAATTCAAAAATAATGATCTTTTTTTTTTGTTTTATTAATTTTCCTTCAGTTTTATTCCTGAGACACAGCCACCCATGCACGCATACAATTCGTGTTAACATTAAATTCAAACCTAAGAATTCTTTCAAGAGAAAGAGGTGGCATTACTGTTAAGATAATTATTAGTTGACAAAAAAAATAACAACCATTTGAAACTTAAAGTATGCATTTTTTAGGGAAAAAATAATAAGCATTTCAATAAACTCCCAACATTTGTGTTGGATGAAAATTGAATGAATTAAATTTTAAAAATATAATTCGACTCATACATTGAATATTAGGCGTTTGGTTGGAATAAACTGAAATGGGCATGGAATTTAATAGTGAGAAATGTGAGCTAATTAGTTTGAAAGAGATACTGCATGATTTAATAAATTAATAAAATAGGAGAGAATGTGCTAAATTAGATCATGAATTTTTGAAGATTATATAAAAGAGAACAGGAAAATAGAAGGAGAATTAACGTGCAGGGATTTCATAATTAATAAAATCATATTTACCTTAAGGCGACTCTGTTTGACTAGGAAGTGTGACAAATAAGGAAAAGGACATATAATAAAATTAATGACCAAACAGAGTTACAGACATAAATGGATTTGAATTTGGTAATTGTAGGTACTAAGTGCTTGTATTATCTAAGTCGTTGAAATCTATATCAACAACTCAAATAAACTCACTCATTTATTAATTAATCTCAAGTAGAGTATGAGTTTAAAATAATTAATTTGGATTTTAATGATTTAATTAATACGAGTACTTAGTTCATGTATCAAATACAGTCACCAAATACCAATCCAACATAAACATGAAGAGAGGTGGAGGATATGGATATATGAAGTCACGAGGGGAAGCTGAATAGTAAACACAGAGAAGGCATTATAAGTTTGGCGGTTCATATCAGATAAACTAATCCTTGGCCACTGCCGCTTGCACGGGCAGTTGGTTCTTGACCCATTCCAGATACCCTCCTCCCATGTTCCTCACATTCTTGTACCCCTGCCAGTGCCATTTCAATATTCATTCATCATTACTATTCTCAGTTCTTACATAAATAAAGTGACCTTCAAGTATTTCAAGTGATTCCACTTACATCATCCACAAGATCCCCCGTCGCTTGCATAGATCTCACCCCGCTCTGGCAACCCTGATCATTGCACACACCTCATCAGCTATATTTTGCCCTTAACTAGCTACTTGTATTTCTTCTAATACAATTTGTAAAAATAATGACTTGTCTTATTAATGTTAATATGAGATATATTTACACTAAGGAACAAGATTTATTAAGATCTATTAGAGAATAAAATAAAAATTCATAAAGAATAAAATAATAGTAAAAAAAATAAAATAGTTATGAAAACTCTAACTATATAGAATAATATATATAATAAAAAAAATCTAATATTGTGGTATGTTATCTTCGTTCTGAAAATAGAATTCCTAAGAAAAAAGAAATGTTTACCACCACCAAATGATCTTCCTTGTTGCAGGATGACCAAACCTGGTTCAGAAACTCTGGATTCTTCACCCTCCCTGTTGCACGACAGCAGAGATTCAAATAAAGAATAAAGACGAGGTGTCCTGAGAGAAGAAATTAAAATTCCATTACCCTCTGGCGTATCAAACATGTAAGGAATGTTTATGATCCTGTCCACAGCTGGATGCCCTTCCTCGAACTCTTCCGACGTCCTGTTTCACGATTGGGTCCAATTTCTCCGCATCAAAATTATTATGTTGCCCCCAAAAATATCAGCAAGTGTTCGTCCCATTTTCTCACCGAAAATGACCAAACAGAGGATAGGAAGATTTCTACCTTACATCGAGATAAGCATGGCCGGCATGGGTCAGAGCCTTGGCTGTGTGCACGTCAACGGTGACAACCTCGGCTCCTGAACTGCACCACAAAACAAAAAGAAAGATGGAGAGAAAATGGCACTGGTTGTACAGCGTATGGGGAGTCAGATTAGAAGGTCGAACCTTTCAAGAATGCTCATCACGAAGAATTGGAAAACCAGTTGAAGGAGGAGACGAAGAAGTCTGGATTGCTTTTCGTTTCCTGTAAAATGTGATCCAGGAATTGCTGCACGAGTCGGATCCCATCTTTTGCGGGACAGTTTGTTATTAATGCGCCACGTCACCGAAAACGATTGTGGGACCGTTTGTTATCAATGCGCCACGTCACCGAAAACGACAGCTTTCGTCGGGCTGTAGCCATTTGAGTAAGGCCACCCGTACCGTATTAATTAACAGTAAAAAAAGCTTCAGCTTTATCCCTCTCCGTTTTCTTAAAGTATTAAGATTACACTGCTTTTTTTCCCCTTCTGGTGCAATATTGGATCTTGAGATTGAACTTAATTACATCTATCATGGTGTGTGTACATCGGGATGCAAGCTATACATCCATCATCGCTCGAGAGAATTATCACAACTTCGTTGAGAATTATTCAAGATAGTCTTTTAAACCTGACATGACATTACACAGTAAAATCTGAAGCTCCGTTCCGTCGAAATTCTTGGTCGACAGCTTGACATGTGATAAATGTTCAAGTTCTTTGTTGGAGCTATTCGGCGAGATCAAAACGTTAGCTGGAAATCACGAGTCATCTTAGTTATTTTATTGTTTATTATTACAGATTATATTGGGTTTGTTGAGAGTTGTAATTCCTCTTTTTTAGATTTGTTACTATATAATATCTTGCAGATCATAGTAGTACAGTGAGTCATGAAATAGTGATGTTTAGTTGAGAGTTTAAGATTTTAATGTCTACTTCATCATACGCCACCAGAACTTGCTTGTCACTTGAAGGAAAAGATGCTCAGGCTTGTTTGACAACCTATTCTGCAAAAATTATTTGGTAATGTATTTTTAAAAAATATTTAAAAAAATAAAAAAATGAAAATATTTTGTTGTTTTTATGGGATATTATTTTAGAGGACAAAGAAGAATGAAAAAAACTTATATTTTCATCATTTTTTATCTCAAAACATATTTTACAAAATATCAATTCTTAAAACAATAAAATAAAAATAGTTTTAAACAGGCTTGAAATTTTTCGAGACTGAAATTTGGTGCTCTTTAAACCTCAGTAAAAGTTAGCCACCCCTAACTCAAAAAGATTGAATTTGAGCTAAGAAAATTGAATAAGATAAATCGGTTGGTATCCCTTTCCCTCTTAGTCACCCTTTGATGATTCTGGTTTATATATATATATACACACACACACATATATTTCTTGGTTTTTGCCGCACATGTTTGCATACGTTGCCTTCTGTAATTTCATGTTGGTTTAAAATTTCTTTCTTTACTTGCATTCCAGGTTGCAACTAGTCTTTTAAAATTCTATAACTAAATGACTTTTCTCAAAAAAAAAAAAAGTAAAACACACACACACACACACACACACACAGCACATACACCCACACTAATAAGGAATCATAATAAGTTTCCAACAGAAAAGAACATTCCATGTCCCGAAAGTAATATCCAAATTATCAACTACGCAATAATCCAGTCCAGCAATAACTTGCCATTTACTCTTTTTTTCCCCTTTCAAGAAAATGCCATAAAAAAACCATAAAGAACTCAAAAGAATCAAGTTGCATTTGATTTTTTAAAACTTGCTTTTGTAGTGATCTATGTCGGGTTCAGTTATTTGTATCTATCTCTCTAAACCTATGCTCACTTTTCACATCTCAGTCCCTTGAGTTTACTTGTTAATATGTTGATGAGGCATAAAACCCACATGAAGCACAAGAGAGAGAGATATAATTTAAAATAAATTAAATTAAATATCATACATTCTATATCCTATCTCTAAGTGGAAGTTTAATTAGCAACACATAGACTAAAATTCCAAACTCAAAGAAAAAGATTATAAAAAAAAAAAAACAAGAATCTTGCTCAACTGCTTCACTTTGCTCGTAAAAGAATCCAAACTCTCAAAATTGAGTATTGGCCATAGGCCATGATTCTTAGATCCTATTTGATTACTAAAAGAAATAGAATGCAATAGATTAAAAAAATAAAAATAAAAAAAAATTAAATTGCCCTTCAATCTCATAGTAAACATGATAAATTTTATTAATATATACTATAAATGTGAGAATCATCATGTCTTCCAAAAAAACTTATGAATCATGATTCCCAACCCCATGAACTAATTATCCATCTCCCTTATGAATGTAATTCACCTATCTCTTTAATCATCTTATTTTTACCTTTATTTTTTTTTAATTCATTTCATTCTAGTCATTTCTAGTAACCAACTGGGATCTTAGTGAAGAGTGAATATTTTTAAATAGTTCCATGAGATCTTATTTATAATATTCAGTAGATGAGATTTTCATGTCATTCTAAAATACCAAAAATATTATTTTTCTTATATTTTTCCTTCTAGATAATAATTAAAATTTTTGAATTTAATTTATTTCCTTTTCTTTTTCTACTCTGCGTTTGATCTTACGCGTTCTTGCTCCCCCCCCTCCCCGGGGGGGTTCTGCAAAACTCACCTGACCAGCCTCTTCCCTTTCTCTCTCCTTGTTATCTTAATTTTCTTTGCTCATTTTTTGCTTCAATTTCTTTTTCCACCATTTTTTTTTTAATGAAGTGGCCAAGCCGAAACTTGAGTGTACAAGTATAATGGTTCAGGCCCTAAAGCATGAGCTTCTTTCACTAATAAAAATATCACAACAATAAAAAGGTGTCTATCTAAACACTAACATCTTGAGTACCGGTTTGGGCATTCTTTGCCAAAAGAAACACCCAACTTTTAAAAGCTTCATCTTCTGATGATTTTCTTATTTTCTTCCCTTCTCTAGCTAATTTCTTTTCTGATTTTTCCTGCACAATATATATAAAAAAATTATATAATTAAGTAGATGTCAATCATGAGCCTCACATCGGGAGTCTCACAAGTGAAGTAGGATCTATAAATGTGAGAGGTTCTTCTATTTAATAAATTAGTCTTTTGGATGAGCTTTTCCTCTAAGCTTGTGCTCATAATATTGGTGCTTTTATTAAGAGGTTGATATAATCACGAAAAGGACTACCCACCTATGATGCATGTATACTTACAGAAAAAATGCATAAAACACACTAAAAATATGATTTCAAAAAGCTATAATTTCTTTAATCTAAAAGCATAGGATACATATAAGAAATTTAAAAGAAAATAAATTAAAAAAATAATATTATGATACTTTATAGATATGTAATGAAGAAGCCACCCAAAAGCATTCTAATTAGCAAGACATTGCATAGTGAAGTGGACCTTTGGTGGTGGCTTTTAATAGCCCCACCAAAAGTAGACCTAAAAGTGTTTTTATAGAAAATAATTTAAAATTTAAAAATAATTTAAATCATTACTTTTGGTGACAACATTTATTCTTACTAAAAGTATTTTTAAAAAATTAAATATAATTTTAAATTATATAAAATAATTTATAAAATTATCATTTAAATTATTAAAAATTTCTTATGAATTAAAAATTAAATAAAATCATTCAAAAGATATTTATAAAATTAAATTTCTTATTTTATATACAAAATTAGAAATAAACGATATATAGGATCATGGAACAAAAAGAATAATGGTGAAGATGTGTTAAGTTTGATTACTAAATCATTTTTTTAATTTTATATTATTCATAATTTTTTTTAGACATATATAGCTCATATTTTTTAAGAATTATGTTATTAAGCTAGTATTTTAATGTGATAAATTAAAATTTTGGTGAGTTATTACTTTTAATTACAATCAGGTTAAGTTATATATAAATTATTACTTATATATAAATACATAAATGATATTGAGATGTCAAAGTTGTATGGATATTGTGAGATACAAATGATATTATAAGTTACTTAGCATATTATGTACTTGATGCTTAGCTTGGTATACATATGATGTTTACTTCTTCTGCTGAGCTCTAATGACTTTTGGACAAGAATTTCATGTAATTCTGCCTAGCACATTAAGGTTTTCATTGTTATAAAAAAAATTACTAATAAAATTTTTATAACTAATTATTGCTAAGAAGAATATAAAAAATTATTTAAATTCACCTTACTATAAGGTAGAGAATGGTTAAAGGTTAACTAGATTGATTGCATATGAGATCCTTGTAATTATCTTGTATTATAAAAGTTGTTAGTATTTGTTAAAAATTTAAAATTATTCAAAATGACTACTAACAAAATTTAGGTGATTGAAATTAATTTGATATTAAAATAATTTTTAAGATATTGAAAAATTGTAGATAAAATATATTTTTTTTATAAAAGAGGGGGAAACATTTAACCATTTTAGAGAAGATAAAAGTTTAATCATTTAATTTATCAATTTTTGATAAAAATATGGAGAAGGAAAAAGTAAAAGATATTTAACATAAACTAATATAATACATATTTATAAATAAATTATATACTTTAATAATTTTCATTTTAAAAAATAAAATTTAAAAATTGGTTACAATGTATATGAGAATATTATTTAATATTTAATATTTTTTTATTTTAAGTTCATTTTCCTAACAAAAATACTCCGTCCATTTAAAAATGTAAGGCACTTTTTAAAAAGTTGGATGTTGAGAAATGTATGGCATTTTTAATCTTTCAAGGTGTAACCATTGCCTCTTTTTTTTAAAAGCACTCCTATTAATAATGACTTTATATTTATTGTAGGGTGTTTAATAGGAGTAAATATTAAAAGATAGAATTAGTTTAAAAGTAGGTAACTACTTTATTGGAGGGTAAAATTTAATTAAAAATATTTTAGATTTTTTAATAGAGGGAGTAATATTTATTGGTAAAAATGATATTTTATTCAAAATATAATTTAAATATTCATATAGATTATTTTATCATATTAATAATTGAAAATAAAATAAAATATATGTATATCTTTCTAATAATATATTATTTGATATATGTGTATGTAGTTAAATAATATATATTTAATTTCATTTATAATAATAGTAAGTGTATTTCTATTTAATTGACAAAAAATGGACACTTAAGGCTTGAAGATAGAAGAAGTCAAGAGTTCAAACTTTGACTTTAGCATATTTTGCAACAAATATATGATATGTTGCATGGTGATGGCATGGCGTATGAGGTGGTTTGAAGAGGCACACACATGGTGGTGACGTGACACAATGTGGCAACATCTGTTTAATGTGTGGCATGTGACGTGGTATGAGTTGGTGGGGTGATACACACATGGTGAAGGGACGTGGCATAAAATAAATTGTTATTTTTTAAAAAATAGTTTGTCATGGCTAAAAGTTAAAAAAAAGTTTTGGCTACGACAAAAATAATAAAATAAATATTATTATTATTTTAAAAGAGAAGCTAAAAATAAACTTTTAGCTACACGAAAAATTTAACGACGACATTTATTACCGCTAAAAGTATATTTTTGATAGCGACAACTATTAGTGATGATTGTTATTGCAACAATCTTTTAGTAGCAAAAAAAAAAAAAACTTTTAGTGGCAATTTTTGAAAAGTCACAGCCAAAAGTTTATTTTTTTGTAGTGAAGGTGGCATTGTCATGTGCTCATATTGAGAAAACTCACAAGTAGAGTGAGATTTATAAACATGAACTACTCTACCACCTAATAAGTTAGTTTTGTAGAATGGGATTTTCTTTTGAATTTATGCTCATGACACTAATCAAAATCTCTTCTTATCTTATAATTGATTGATAAGAGGAAAATATAAAAAAAAATTAAAATCAATACCTACTTATCTATAAAATATACACTTATCAAATTCCAAGAGGCAAAAACACAAACAGAAACAAATTGATTGGTTCTGTCAAAACACAAAATCGAATCAAACTTTATTTGTAATCAGTTTTAATTGATTCATGTCAGTTTGGTTTAGTATAGATTCATATCGATTTTAGATACCCTTAGATAATGATGTATTACATTTTTTTCTTCTCCTTAGATGTTTATTTCCTAATGATAATGAAAGTCTTGGAACAATATTTTTCGCCGATGTAACTGATTAACCCACCGATGTTACCGGTTTTGATCCGTTCAACTTCAAGTTACAATTTTCTACTGGTCTATTACTTTCCGATTTTTCTTTTTCTTATTTTTTTATTTTTACCGATTTTGGCACGCCTCTGGACGAAACCATAGGGTAGTTGCTACTTGAACTGGTCAGTTTGACCTGATCATGACAAAATTCCTTCATTTAAAATTTAATTTTCATATAACATGAAAACTTGGTCACTCAAACTAAAAGTATAATAACACAATTAATTTGTTTATCAGATTTCAATTCATGCAACACGCTAAAGTCACGCTGATTAAAATCTGAACACAAGCCAAAATTTTAATTGGTATTTCCATCAATTAATTCCACGACGATAACATGTTCACTTGATGCTAACCATTTACAAGTTTAATTCCCTTCAGAATTATTGTGATGAGATTGTATATCTCATTACCATCACTTGATCATTTATCCGGTTATTCTCTCTATACTTCTCACACTAGAACAACATATGGCAGCGAAAAACTCTAAATCTGATAATCTACCTGCTCTTCCCAAGTACCTCATCGAAGATGAACAACTTTCACAAGAATGCAAGGATCTCATTGATACCTTACCCACAGAATCGGGTTGGATCAACAACTATATTCATCAATACAATGGGTTTTGGCTCAACACAGGCCAATTGCAAGGAACTCTCAATTGTCGAAGCTACTTTCAAGCTCAGGATTCTGATATTCTCCTTGTAACCTCACCAAAAGCTGGTACCACCTGGCTCAAAGCCCTTAGTTTTACCATTCTCAATCGCAAGACCCATTATCCAAACCCGCAGTCAGACCTGACCCAAACCCACCACCTTCATCCTCTTCTCACTACTAATCCTCATGATCTCGTACCCTTCTTAGATACTGTCTTGTATTTCCAGACCACCATGCCTGACTTAAGATCTTTCCCATCACCGAGGCTTTTTGCAACTCATCTTCCTTACATTTTATTGCCAGAGTCTGTGAAGCAGTCAAGGTGTAAGATTGTGTACTTGTGTAGAAACCCTAATGATCAGTTTGTCTCCATGTGGCACTTTGCAAACAAGTTAAGACCAGAAACCCGAGGGTTGATTAGCATTGAGGATTCATTTGATAAGTTTTGTCAGGGAAAGATAGGTTATGGGCCATTTTGGGATCATATCTTGGGATACTACAAGGAGAGCTTAGAGAGGCCAGAGAAGACAATGTTTTTGAGGTTCGAGGAGTTGAAAAGTGCGCCTGTCAATGTTTTGAAGGACCTAGCAGAGTTTATAGGTTGTGGTTTTTCTAAGGACGAAGAGAATGACAATATTGTAGAAAATATATTGAAGCTTTGTGGTTTTGAGAACTTGAGCAATTTGGAAGTTAACAAGAGTGGAAAAGTGTGGTGTGGGATAGAGAATAAGGCTTACTTCAGGCGTGGACAAGTTGGAGATTGGAAGAATTTCCTCACATCTGACATGATCAAGCATCTTAATCTTATTACTCAAGAGAAGCTGGGAAAACATGGCTTCAATTTTTAGACCCATATATGTTACTTGGACCATCTATTCGAGATTCGACTATAACTTTTTAAGTGCATTGTCTATCTTATATCAGTTTCTTCCTTATTGATTGACTGTTATTGTTTGCTAGTAATGAATAATGGTTTTCAGACACTGTACGTATACTCTAGCTTTTAAATCTTTGATAACCTCGCAGGTAAATTTATATTCAAATCGTAAACATGAAGGATAATCATCAATAACATGATAATGAGAGGACCGAGCTGTTTTCCTTATGATGATATATAAGAGTTGTGATGTTCATAAAACTTTCACATCAAGCTGCTTTTTAAATGTTGATATTTATAATTAAACTTTAATATATATAGTCGAGATGGATGTTTGGCATTCGAACATATATAATACCTCCCTCAAATTTAAAGGTCGATATGATTTTGTAGAAAGCCTATTGCAACAAAATAGAAACCTAAGAACTAAGATGATCGTAACGCTTATGAAATCCTTTTTTAGTCAAGGCAGTAGGATATGGAAGGATCGTGAATGGCCTAAATGGCACCAAGTAGGCCCTTAAAATGCTTCCTTTGGAGGGGAAGGTCACAAGTTCAAAGCTTGTGGTGTACATGCTATAATGAGCGGTGTTTGCCAAAATTGGATTAGACTGGCATGTTCAATCGATTAAATGGGAAACTAGCCATATGTCCGGTTCAAAACGCTTCTAGAACCGGTCAAAAAGTGAATCAATGAGAAACCGGTCTTAATTGGTCCTAAACTGATTTTTCTTATGTTTTTAATTTTCCAATAATCCAAAATTATGTTATTTTGAGTTTTTATTTGTATTGAGTATTAGATATATTTGATGATTTGTTCATGTATCTAGTTAATCGTGGAAGTTAGCTTGCATTAGTTTGGTTGGACAATTGATCCAGCACATTCAATGATTGGAGTGATTTATAATAAACTGTAATGTCGCTGTGATTAATATATGGATAAATATTACTTAATATATTTTTATATTTCATATATTCTTTAAATTTTATTAATTTAATTAAAACCATGTCCGACCACAATCTGATCACTAAACTTTGAGCCGGTGCTTTGACTAGTTCAGTGGTAATCTGATTGTAAAAGCATTTGCTGATGAATGTGTGGGTGTGATGGTAGGATGTGTGACTGTGTTCAATTATGCCCAAAACAGAATCCTCTCCCATATGGTGCATGAAAATTATGGCGCAACCAATAATTGATATTCATTTCAAACGCATAATATAATTAATGAAATTTTTTTGAAGATAAACATTTTGTATGGGTTGGTTTCATATGATAGTATTGGTACAATTAAGCTAGACGGATTACTTGAAAATCTATGTGAGTACATATGGATGTTAATACGAAATTCGCTATAAAATATTGTGTTAGGGGAGCGTTTTTTTGTCATTGGTCGCGTTTTAAAATGCCTCCAGTGACAATTCTTGGATTCTATTCCAAAAACAAAACAGTTTTGGAAGATGATTAAACAGTATAGTTTGGGATGCAAAATGGTTAAAACTATATTTTTCTCATGTAAAGGACTTCAAGAGCTTTCAAGAAAATTTTAGATCATCCTCATATGATGTTTTTAGATTTAGTTATGATTTTTCAAAGTTTAACAAAAATTTTAAACTTACCAATAAGCAGTAACCTCGACAATTAATTTGTAAATTTTAATTTATAAACTTTATTTTTTGTTTCACCTAAACCATATAGCTTATAGTAATGCAGGGAAATTGTTAAAAGTTAGGATTTAACATCAAGTACTTTTGATGTAGAACTAAAAAACGAGCGAACTTAACCTATATAGACCTAACTCTTATGGGCTCAAACTCAGAAGCTGGGTTGCCTAAAAAATGATCACTTTTTGAATTTTAAATGTCTCAAGTCAAGCATGTAAGGCCACTTTTATTTTTAAATCTTTTTGAATTTTTAAATATTTAAATTATCAAATATAATATGGCAAGTTTTTTTTAAAAAATACAAGTTATAATGTTAAAAAATAAAAATAAATAAAAAAATTTTAATTTTAAAATATAAATATATATTCTAAAGTTTAAAAAGTTACTCAAAATTCTAATAGAAATTCATAAATCAAATTACTTCAAAATTGATATTTTTTAAAAAGCTTGATTTTTAGTTAAAAGACTTATGGCTGGGCCCATAATCCTTTTTGTTATTTTTTTTCATTTTTAAAAATTAAAATTATCAAATATAATATTTCATTTTTTTTAAAAAAGTATAAGCTCCGCCCTTATTGTGTCATTTATTTTATTAGCGGACATTTATCTAAATTTGTGGGTCCTAATAACTCACTCTCTCACACTTCATTTTTTCCTCCCTAATACCTCTATAGCCAAACGCTACCTCTCATCCTTGCCATTCCAAGTGCTAGCACATATTCTCGTTTAAGTGCTGAAATCGCAATAACTCTGAATTAGACAATGATGATAATCACAAACTCATAACCATAAAAGCTCAAAAACCAAAGGAAAGCACTCTTGGTCTCGCACTCTTGCGTCTCGCACTTAGAAAACCCTCCATGCCTTCTCGCCTTTTGGGGACAAGGTTTCTATTGCCTCACACCTCCCCTGCTTTAGCTATCAAATTCTCACCATCAACACAGGCATAACATATCACAACTCCTCGTGGGCATCTCACCAAGGACTTATTTATTATTCAACCATCAATGCGAATCACAAATCACCATGCCTTTTCAATTTTTTAGACTTCTCATGGCACAACTTTTTCAAAGAGACCACACCTTATTGAATTAACTAATAGATTTCCATCCCACTTGCAAAAGTAAGAAATTCAATTCTTACCTTCCAATCTAATGTAACTGGCATAAATTTCTAGTGTCAATTCAAACAATGCTGTCTATGGACTGGGTTGAGTTGTCTATTAATGGGCCAAAGGTGACTGTTGAGCTCAAGAGTAAATGGCATAATTGGAAGAATTAGGTATATCAAGTGGTAGGGCAATTGCGGAGTGCAATGCTCAGGATATATTATAATATTAATGGAGTAAAAACTGACAAAACCAACGTTCACAAAGCGTATTACAATTTAAAAATTGATAAAGGCACTACAGCAGGAATAATGAGAAAATGACAGCAAAGGCATGTAGAAAAGTATAGCAGAAGCAGAAACGTAGAGAAGGTTCAGCACAGAGAGAAAGAGAGAGATATTCTAATCATTTCACACCCCCTCACGTAACCTTATTTATCGTTATATAGCCTCCTCTTCATCTAACTCGTGCAATTTTCACGTTTTCTTCCTCGTGCGCTAGCTCCTTCTTCTAGCTTCTAACATAGGTTATAGAATTGGGTTATCCATTATGATAGTTAGGGCTCCCACTTGGATCTTCATTTGGGTTTATTACAATTCCCCCTCACTAAGATGGACCTTGTCCCCAAGGTCAAAGTATGGATACAAGTGACTCATGGTGACAGCATCCTCCCAAGTATTTTTGTTGGACCCATTCCAACGAATCCAAACCTAAGAAACACATTTTCCATTTTGTTGAACTAGCCACACGTCTTCCATTGCTATAGGCTGCAACAGGGGACCTTCTGGAACTGTAGACAGGGGTAATGGCAAGTAAGACCCTTGAGATTTCTTCAAAAGTGAAACGTGGAATATAGGGTGGATGCATGCATGATCTGGAATTTGAAGTTTGTACGCCACTGTCCCTATTCGCTCAACGATTGAAAATGGGCCAAAATATTGTAAGGCTAATTTCTGGTATTTCTTAGTGCAATAGAGTGTTGACGGTAAGGTTGAAGACGGACCAGAACCAAGTTGCCTACTTGGAAAGAAACTTTTGATCGACGTCTGTTTGCAAATTGCTTCATTTGTGTCTGAGCCTTCAACAAATTTTGTTTGAGCACCATTAAAAGTTGATCACGTAACTCCAATTGCTGATGGACTTCTCAAAGCATATCTTCTTATGAGGAGTGGCAAATCAATGGAGGTGGGTCTCTCCCATAAACTACCTTAAATGGGATCATGTCAATAGCAGTATGAAAGGCGGTGTTATACCAAAACTCTGCCCAAGGAAGAACTTGCAGCCAGCGACGTGGGTATTCATGCACAAAGCACTGTAAATACATCTCAAGGCATTTGTTCAAAGCTTTTGATTGACTATTCGTTTGAGGATGGTAGGTTGTACTCACACACAACTTTGTACCCTGTAACTTCATTAAGTGGCTCCAGAAGGCACTGGTAAAAGTCTTGTCCCTATCAGAGATAATCATTTTTGGCATTCTATGTAGTTAACCATGTTTTGGAGGAAAGCTTCAGCAATAATAGGGCTGGAAAAGGTGCTTGGCAGTGGAATGAAATGGCCATATTTGGATAATCAGTTAATAACCATAAGAATAATAGAAAAACCCTTAACTGGTGGCAAGCCGGTGATAAAATCCATGGCTATATCTTCCCAAATGTGATTAGGAATGGGCAACGGATTCAATAATCTAGTAGGATGAAGCTGAGACAATTTTGCTTGTTGGCACACAGAACAATGTCGAACAAAGTTTCTTATATCTTGTCGCATATGAACCTAGAAGAAAAGTCGAGTAATGCAATGAAAAGTATGGAGGAACCCTGCATGTCCACCTATTATTAAAGAATGAAACTCTTGTAAGATCTTATGAATCAAATCTGGCTGATCATAAGGTATAACCAAGCGATTGCCCCAATATAAATCTGGCTGCCTTATATGATATTTTGGCATAGACTATGGGTCACTTAGCACTCTGTTTTTAAGATCTAAAATCAGAGGAGATTCTCACACCTTGTTATAGACTTCCTCTATGAATACATTTTCTATCTATGTTAAAGCCATAATTGTAGCCCGTGAAAGAGCATTGGCAGCTTGATTGTGCTTCCCAGGCCGGTATTCAATATTAAATTGATACCCTAATAATTTTGGAAGACATGCCTCTTGTTTTGGGGTTTGAATCTTCTGATCTAACAAATGCTTTAGGCTAGCATGGGTTGTCTTGATTGTGAATTGGTTTCTAAACAAATAATATCAAAATTTTAAAACTGCCTCAGTAATGGCATACAACTCTCAAGCGTATACAGATTTAGCCTGCATTATGGGTGAGAGATTCTTTAAGTAAAAATAAATCGGATGGTTGTCTTAGCTCAGAATTGCTCCAATTACTACTCCAAATGCATCCGTTTCTAACGCAAATGGTTTAGTGAAATCCGGCAACGGGAGTACCGGCGCTTCAGTCACTGCCTTTTTAGATTATTAAAAGCCTCTTGGGCCTCTGAAGTCCATATGAATTGATCTTTAGCTAGGAGTTTTGTAAGTTGGCTAGCAACTTGGGCATAATTTTTTATAAACCTTCGATAATACCCACTCAAGCCTAAGAATCCTTTAAGCTATGTGACATTTGTTAGGCTCGGCCATAATTGAATGACCTTCACCTTTGCGTCATCTATCGCTACCCTTCACCTGAGACGACATAGCCCAAATATTCTATTTGGGATTGGCTGAAAGCACACTTAGTCATTTTGGCAAATAATTGATGTTATTCCAATAGGCCTAAAACAATTTCCACATGCTGTAAATGGAGATCCCATGTGGCATTGTAGATTAGTATATCCTCAAAAAAAAAAAATCAAGACAAATCGTTGGAGAAATGGTCGAAAAACTGAGTTCATTAGCGATTAGAAAGTAGCCGGTGTGTTTGTTAATTCGAAGGGCATCACCAACCATTCATAAAGCCCTTGATGTGTTCTGAATGCAGTTTTCTCTCTGTCTGTCTCTTTCATCAAGATCTGATGGTAGCCAGAATGGAGGTCGAGCTTTGAATGAAAAACAGAGCCATGAAGTTCATCTAAAAGCTCATCAACAGTCGACATGGGAAATGAGTCTTTCACTGTGACTGTATTCAACGCTCGATAATCGACGCAAAATCGCCATATGCCATCTTTCTTTTTCACAAGAATCACTGGTGCTTAAAAAGGGCTTATTGTATCAATCCATTTGAGAGCAATTCAAAGACCATTTTCTCTATCTCTATTTTCTGACTATATGAATATCTGTATGGTCTCACTTTGATAGGTCCCGTCCCAGGTTGCAACTCAATCTTGTGTTCACGTTCTCGTCGGGGAGGAAAACCATGAGGTTGGAAGAATACAGAGCGATATCTCCGTAATAATGCAGCCATGTCAGGTGCAATTTCTTCTAAAATTTTCAACTCTTTTGAGTCTTCTTCCAGCTTCTCAATCATATAATACTCTGCCACAGCAACAGTGTGTTGAATTCTCACCAAATGGTGAAATTGTGCTTAAGCTATTGAGGAGCCCCGCACGCCTTTGAGAGTCACAAATTTCCCATTCTGAATAAATTTTACAGTAGAAGTACTGTAGTTCGCCACATGCAGACCTAATGTCTCAAGCCAATCTGCTCCTATCACTACATCAACACCAGCAATGGGTAAAACAAATAAAGTCAATAACAGGGTATAATTATTAATGATTACCGGTATATTTGTGACCATCTCTTTGCTTTTCATTATCTGACCCGTTCCATACTATATTTGTACTTTAGTTGTGTGCTTCACTAGAATTTTTAGATGATGAACTATTCTAGGATGTATGAAGTTATTAGAGCTTCCTCCATCAAGTAATATTTGAACCTCTGAACCTATGATCATTCCAATAAAAGGGATTGTGGCTGGACCCTAGGTACCTCAAAGAGCATGGAGAGATAGATGATGGAGAGTAGCCTCATGCTCCAGCTCAGCCGATGGATCCTCTGTTTTCTCTTCCTCTATCCTTGTTTCCTCGTCACCTATCAGCATCATTAGTTGCTTGTTAGGACATCGATGATTCAAAGTAAACTTCTTATCACAAGTATAACATAATCCCTTCTCTCGCCGTATCTGTATCTCAGTAGGGGTGATGTGTTTAATGGGCGGCATCTTTAAAGTGGGTAATAATGGTGGTAAATTTGCCTTACCTCCTCCACTGGATGATGAGGCTCCTGAAGCACCTATGTAAGGCACGATTGCTCTACTGGAGGAAGAGCCACTCAAGGCACTATTATAAGGTCAGGGTTTGGTTCCTGTCACACCATAAATAACTGTTTCAGAGAATAATCTAGCAAGAGTCATAGCTTTCAATACCGTGTTAGGTTGTTGAACCAGAACGTCTCGTCTAATTTCCAACTTCAACCCCCTTATGTAGCAATCAAGCAAAGCTTGCTTAGTGATCTCCTCCGTTCAGTTTGCCAATGACATAAACTTGTTATTATACTCCTCTAAGGAGCCTTGTTGTGTCAGCTTGAAGAGTTGAGCGCTTGCACAATCAAACTTGGATGGGCCGTATTGCTCTTCAACGATGCGAGCTAACGCAGCCCAGTTATGCACCTTCTGAGCTTTCTCCATCATCTGGAACCAGGGTAAAGCATCTCCATCTAGATGCATAGAGGCGAGAACCAAACATTGTAGGTCTTTGATCTCATAGTATTTGAAATACTGCTCTGCTCGAAGCAACCACAGTAGTGCATCAGTGCCGTCGAAGCGAGGGAAGTCTATCTTCACCTGTCTGTTTGTCCCTCATAGTACCCCATCGGCAAGTAACCTGTAGTATTCGAAGGTGAACCTCTAGATCCTTTAAGGCTAGGTTGTTCGAACCTCCAATTCAGATTATCTATCGACTTCATTAGCTCATCCATGAGTTCTTCGAGTCGTTTGAATCTACCTTCAGTACGCTCAGCAAATTCGTTGTTCTTTCTTACTTCAGCTTGAAGCTCTTTCAGTCTGGTATTTTTCGCCATTATCTCTCAACGAAAGCACCAAATCTATAATGCTCAGGATATGTTATAATATTAACGAAGTAAAAACTGACAAAACCAACGTTCACGGAGCGTATTACAATTTAGAAATTGATAAAGGCACTACAGCAGGAATAATGAGAAAAATGACAGCAAAGGCATGCAGAAAAGTATAACAGAAGCAGAAACGTAGAGAAGGTTCAGCACAGAGAGAAAGAGAGAGATATTGCAATCATTTCACACCCCCTCACGTAACCGTATTTGTCGTTATATAGCCTCTCTTCATCCAACTCGCGCAATTTCCACGTTTTCTTCCTCGTGCGCTGGCTCCTTCTTCTAGCTTCCAACGTCGGCTGTAGAATTGGGTTATCCGTTGTGATAGTTGGGCTCCCACTTGGATCTTCATTTGGGTTCATTACATGGTGTCATTAAGGAATTTTGTTGGATTTCTTCCCTCTGAGTCGCTTTCTCCTCTCTTTGAATCTGCTGCTCTGCTTCTTTATTCTCCTACTAAATTTCTGCTGTTAATGCCTTTAGTTGATTGTAATTGGCTTTAGCCAAGTTTATATGTTGCCTTAAGCTTGTTGGTTAATGAATATTACCATTTGAACCTCATTTTTCCTCCAGTTTTTCTGTAATCTTACCCATTCAGTTTGGTGTCCGTGACAAATGCAACTCTAGGTCATACTTGCGAAGTTCTCTGTCTCTCTGTTTTTCTTTCCCCTATTCTTGTTTATGCCTCTGCAGTGAAATATTTCTGGGTTTCGTTTGCCGAAATGATCCTTGAATAATCCAAGTGATAAGGAAAGGAAACAAAAAGTAGAAGGGATCGTCAATTAATCCTTGCTGGGCGCTAAAGCCACCTGTGAATAGAGCAGAGGGAGGAAAACGAATGAGGAAGTCACTGCCACTTGTGAAATTTGAGTAGCCTCCTCAAAAAATAGTTTGAGAAAAAAAAAATCTTTAACATTTCAATTTATATATTCAATAATATATATATTTTAAAGTATTTTTTCAATAAAAAGTATTTTTAATATATATCATTCAAACAACTTGCAATTTATTAAACTGTTTTTTTTTAAATTATCTAAGCATAACTCTCATTATAATAACAAACTTTTATTAGACTAAATTTTGACAGATAGATTTTCATCAAATAAATTTTTACAAAATTGAAAACCAAACTCACCCTAAACTATAACCATTAAGCTAATCATGAAGATTTGGTTGGAAAAAAAAAGAAAATGAATTTTTAGTCAGTTTGAGAAAAAAAATAATCTTTAACATTTCAATTTATATATTCAATAATATATATTTTAAAGTATTTTTTCAATAAAAAGTTTTTAATATATATCATTCAAACAACTTGCAGTTTATTAAACTGTTTGTTTTTAAATTATCTAAACATAACTCTCATTATAATAACAAACTTTTATTAGACTAAATTTTGATAGATAGATTTTCATCAAATAAATTTTTACAAAATTGAAAACCAAACTCACCCTAAACTATAACCATTAAGCTAATCATGAAGATTTGGTTGAAAAAAAAAAGCAAAATGAAATTTTTAGTTATTCAAGTTTGTTTTGATCATTAATTTAATATTCCATGTTTAATTTTTATTAATTTGTCCCCTTAAGTTTGTTTTCAATTATTGGTTTCATGCCAAGAATGACTATTACAGAAGTGATTTATCTATTAAGAAGATCAAGAAAGAAGTATCAAAGCAAAGATAATGATGACTTACATATGATTTCAATAATTTAAAAAAAAGTTCATGATCGTTTTTCAAAAGAAGTATTTTGGAATATTTTGAAAAAGAAAGGAGTTTGGATTGCTTCTAATAAAGAAATACAAAATATGTATGAAGAGATAGCAACTAGCTAGTATAAGAATATTTGGTGATCACACGAATGACTTTGCTATTAGAATTGGCCTACACTAGGATCATCTTTGAGCTAATAATGAAGGTTTTGTTGAGGGAAAAATAGATAACTAAACTTTTAATCTCTTAAGTTTGCATCAATTATCAATTTAATCTTTCAAATTTATTTTTTATCGATTTGGTCTATTAAATTTATCTCATTATTGATTTTATCATTATTATTTAAAGATGAAGTTATTAAAAATATTATATTCCTTTCCTCAAGTTTATTTGACACTTTCTTTTATTAAAATTATGCATACTTTATATTATGTATACCAATAATGTTTATTATACACATTTTAAATTTTTTTAAAAAATACAAATATAAATTTTTAAAAATATCCTTTATATGACATAACATTATTTGTGAAACATCAAATAGATATAGAGAAAATATAAAGAAGGATAATAAAACAAATATAACTAATAAAATTTTATTTTCATCAAAGTGTACTCCCTCCATTAAAAAATATAAGGCATTTTTAACTAAATCTCACCCCCAATAAAAATAGTTACCTACTTTTCAACTAACATTATCTTTTTATATTTATCTCTATTAAACACTCTACAATAAATATAAAGTTATTATTATTAGAGGCACTTTTAAAAAAAGGTAATGATTACACCTTAAAAGACTAAAAATGCCTTACATTTTTAAATATCAAACTCTTTAAAAAATACCTTACATTTTTAAACATCCAACGCATTCATTAATGAATGTCTGAAGCTATGTTTTTAAGTGTTCCATGATCTATGTATGATGTATGAGCATGTAACATGTCAATAAGTTAGTTGTGAAGTCATATAATATAAGTATATGTTATGTACGAAACTTCTGCCTTATATGGTTGAATGATATTGTTTACTATTGAGGTTCTATTGAATCTTATCCACAATGATTAACCATGATAGGTTATAAGCTTTCAAAGGAAGCGTTAGAGCAAGATGTAAAGGTAAGTAGATTAGGAGATGATTTTTACTACTGCATTACTTTTATAGAGATGAAAAATGTATAAATAAGTCTACAAGCTATGTAAATTTATGATGAAACTTTGGTATGTATAAGGGATATGTGTTGATGTATGATGGCCAATTTGGAGTCCTAAGCTAGTCTTGAAATCATGATTTTACTATGCATGATTGGGATTGTCTAGTTTAGGCTATTTTTAGAGGAAGGTTACTATTTCATTATTTAACATGTAGTAACCTATGTCCAATGCTCATGAGAATTTTTATAAGGAAACTAGACATTTAAAGCTTTCCAACAAGTCAAACAACTTGTAATTTGTTATTGCATTATTGCAAATAAAAAAAATTGTGATTATTTAAACAAAACTTGTGATCATTACTATGTTATTTCCAACACTTATAGCAATATTAAAAATTTGACATGTATAGTTGTAATTTTCTATTTGTATTATTGCGAATATGAGAAAGAAAGTTATTATTATTTAAGCAAAACATGTGATTATTATTTTTTATTTTCAACATTTGTAGCAATATCAAGAATTTGACAAAAGAATTTATAATTTATTGTTACATATTTGCAAATATAAAAAGAAAAATTGTAATTATTTAAACAAAAATTATGATCATTACTACATTATTTCCAACACTTGTAATAATATCAAGAATGTGACATGTGAAGTTGTAATTTGTTATTGTATTGTTACGAATATAAGAAGAAAAATTATAATTATTTAAGCAAAACTTGTTATCATTACTTTTTATTTCCAACATTTGTACCAATATCAAGAATTTGGCATGAGAATTTGTAATTTACTATTACATTATTACAAATATAAGAAGAAAAGTTATAATTATTTAAATAATACTTGCAATTATTTTATTTTCAATAAGGACAATTTAGTCATTTATATAAATTCATTAATGATAGAAAAGTTCCTAGGAACTATAATAGAATTATAATATTTTGAGAGATTAAATTGTTATTTATATAATTTTAAGAGATTTTATTGTTATTTTTCCTATTCTTTGATGAATTAATTAAATATATTTAAAATTACATACTCTTTTTATGTCTATCCTTCTTTAATATTGTGTATATCAATTAAAAAATTTATTAATTATACCCTCTAATTAAGGCTGTTTTTGAAAAAGTCTCATTAATTGTATCTTGAAAGACAAAAAAGTTTTATATTTTTGGACGAATGGCGTACTAGATTTGGATTTGAATGTTCTAAATTTAAGATTCAATTTTTTTTATAAGTTTTGAATCCATCTTTTTTTTGAATGATTTAGATTTAAAAATTTTAACTAATTATTTTTATCAAAAAATATTTTTTGAAAAGTTTTAGATGGGAGATTATCTTTATTTTTAATATTATATTTATCAAAAGAAAAATTTATAAAAATTAAGTATTAAATCTAAATTGTCATGCAACTAGACTATTACTTTGTAAAAATTATAAAAAAATTAATATTAAAGTAGACGGTCCAGATTAAATTTTTACTATTTAAATGACTAGATTAATGATGAGCATATTTATTAAATATTGAAAATAATTTTTTTATAAATATAAAATAAAAATTAATAGCCTTAAACTTGAATTGTCTATATTAAATTTAAATGATCCAAATCTCACCAAAAATGATGAGTATCATGGTGCACATCTCTTAATGATCACCAAAGCTACCCAATGAAGGATGGATGGGTAAGAAGTATGCCACAAGTCCATCCAATGATACTCTTTTAATCCTATTTATAAATTATTTTCAACATGTTTCATTAAAATAAAAAAAATTTAAAACTCATTAATTAACTTTATCTAAAAATTACTTGACCATTTTATTAAAACAGAATTTGAACAAGAAGAAATAATGCAACTTGTGAACAACAAGAAACTTGACCATTCTATTAAAATACCAAAACAACTCTAAACAAGACATTAAAATCAAAAACAATCAGTGAAATTCACTATCAACCTACCATCCCATATCTAAGGGTGGACAAAGGGGGAGACTAGTAGGGGCCATGGTACCTCCTAATTTTTTTAATTTTTTTCAATAAAATATAGGAGTTATATATTTTCGGCTCCTATAAGTTAGCGTATTATAAATGTTATGAAACATTATATGAAATTCTCATTTAAATTATATATATAGTCTTTTATGTTTGTATATACAAACTATTTCAATAGCTTGAAGATATCGTTATCATAGGATCTATTTATTTTCAGCAAGATAATGTTATACATGCTCTTAAAGTATTAATATCATTTTATTTTACTTTCATTTTATATTTAATGAAAGAAATTATAAGAATTGTTAATAAAAAACTTTGTTAAGAATTGCAACAAAAATCCTAAGGTATATTAAATGCTATATACTTGATATCTATCATAAAATCACTCATCCAAAAGTCAAGAGGTTTGGTGAAAATATTCTTAAAAAAAATTACTTTTTTTTAAAAATAATCAAGCTATTGAAATATATGATATAAATAATTTTTACTCTAATATAATTCAATCTTATTAACATAAAAATACAATTGAGTATTATTAATGTGTTGATGTATTTATTTACTATGATTATCAATTGAAAGAATTAAATAGTAAATTCAATAAGCAAGTAATAGAGCACAATTTCAATGGTGTATTTAAATCATTTAATGCTTGTAAGGATAATAAAATTTTCACCAATTTAATGATAATTTATATTGAGAAGGAAATTGCTAAAACATTTATCATAGACATAATTACTAACTAGTATTTTTTAATTTATACCATAAAAAATTGATTAAAAAAACTTAAAATATATATATATATATATATATTGTTATGTATGTATAAAATTAAATATAAATATATATGTTGAAATATTTATATTATGTTGGTGATATATATAATTTTTTTTAATTATCATATGTACTTTTTCATCTTGATTCTATAAAAAATTTCTGACTCAGCTCCTGGTCATATCATTTCATGCCCAGGGGATTATATCTTATCTAGGAAATTATAATTGACTTGGTGAACAAATTAGTGGGCTAGTGAATGATCTGAATGGGAACCCGCTAGGAAGTACCTCTTCAACGGTAGTTAACCAAAACAAACTAATAATATGTGTGATATTTCCTTCTCAATCATTAAGGGTAATTCAGGCATTTCAGCTTGGAAATTAATTGCCGATGAGTTCTTCTTGCCCGCACACGATTATCAGATTGTATTGGGCATGAAAAGTAATTTTTCTTCTAGTGGGGGCTTTAGACGTATATTTTTCTAATTATTTTTTTATTGTAATGTGATAAGATGTTGGCAATAATTTGTCCATTAAAGATTGACATCTCTTCGATTGAATTTTTTATATTTAATACACATTTTAGGAGAGATTATAAATTAGTTATTTGAAAACAAATTGTCATTATTAATATTACTAATACATTGTTGCAATATAATGTATTTGTTTATGTCAACAGTTGAAGAAAAGCGTCACTTACAGTCCAACACTCTTCTCAAACATCAGTGAAACCTCAGAACTCTTAATCCTCGACACAAGAAACGCAGCTCCTCCATATCACTGTAAGTAAAATAGAAAGTAAAAATAATCAAGATAATGAATTGAAGACGCTATCGCACGCGGGGAATTAAAGGTGAATAAAGAAGAGCAATCCTTAAGAGATCAATTTATTACATGAAGCCAGCTAAGACTTCATCAAAAGCAAACATGCATACTCAATCTTCAGGCAAATTTATTACAGCAGACTTTGATTTATCTTTACATGGATTTAAAACTTCAATCCATGTTTCCCTAGTTTTTCTTGTGTAATAGCATTAAGACGCTGGATCATATCAGCTGTGAGAAAATTTTTGCTATCTCCAACTTCTCCACGTCTAAAAAAAACCTTGTTTTCAACCCCTGACGGCAATTTCCCCTTCTTATTCACTTCCAAATTACTCAATGTCTCAAAACTACGTAGCTTCAGTATATCACTAATAACATCACCATCTTCCTCCTCCTTAGAAAAGCCACACCCTATAAACTCAGCTAGCTTCTTCAAAATCTTAACTGGCTCATCCTTTAGCTGCTCATATTTCAAAAACATAATCTTCTCTGGCCTCTCAACACTCTCCTTATAGTACCCCAAGACATGATCCCAAAGTGGCCCAAAAATGCTCACTCCTCGGCAAAACTTCTCAAATGCATCATCGATCTTGTTGGACTGATCACGGGTATTATGATCTGGTCGTAACTTGTTACCAAAGTGCCAGAGTGAGACGAACGCATCCTTAGGATTTCGACACATGTAAATTATCTTACATCTTGACTGCTTCAAGGACTCTGGCAAAGAAACATACGGTAAATGGGTTGCTAAAAGCCTCGGTGATGGAAACGAGCTAACAGCAGGCTGGATAAACTCCAAGAGAGGGACGAGAACTTGAGGGTTGACAGTAAAGAGAGGATGAGGAGAAATGATTCGGGTCAAGTCTGGATTCGGGTTTGGATAATGGATCTTGCGGTTGAGGAGGGTGGAAGTGAGAGCTTTGAGCCAAGTGGTGCCGCATTTTGGAAATGTGACAAGGAATATGTCAGAGTCACGGGCTTCGAAGTGGCTTTGGAAATTGAGAATTCCTTGCGTTAGTCTCTTTGTGTGCCAAAATCCTTGGCATTGGTACAGTCGGGTCGCAAACCAATCGGGTTCGGAGGGTAATGTGGCAATGAGGTCCAGGCATTCTTGGGATAGACCTTCATCGTCTGCCAGGAGATACTTGGGAATGATATCAAGATCGGAGGGTTTAGTATTTTCTGCTGCCATTGTTACAAGTATAGAGAAAGCAATAGATGGTTGAGGGTAGAGAAATAGGTGACGGGCATGGGCTTATATAACTGAGACTTGAGGGAAATTTAAGATAAAACATCATCAACGGGCCTCGCCGCGTTTTAAAATTAAAAATTTAAAAAATCTGAAATATCACTGCACTTTAAAAAATATTTGAAAAATAAGATTTAGGGGAAAAGATCTAAGTATCTCTATAGCCTTTTACAAGTCTTGCTATAACCAAACATTTGGCTATTGGCAAATTACTATATATAATTAATAAGCAAACATTCGATCATAAACAAATTACAAATACTTATAAATTTGGTTTATTCACTTAATGTTTATAGTCTAATGGTAATTTTTGTTAATAGTTGAATGCTTTGTTTTTTAAATTAAAAGCAAGATTTGTAAAATTAAATCAGACCCATCAATTTTTTTTTAACTTGTCCACAAACAAGTACCCATTTATTTATTTTGTACGATAACATGTCAATAATTAAATACTTTATTATTTATACTAAAGCAAGACTTGTAAAATGTTACAGGGATAATTAAGTCTTTTGTCCCAAAATCTTATTTTCATACAGGGTTAGTGATATGTTAGATTCTTAGAGCTCGTTTGGTACGTAGCATTGGAAGGTGAGGATTGGGATTGGGTCAGAGTAATCTCACCTTGTACATGTTTGGTATGAGTGATTCACCAACATTTGGGGTTACTCAGTCCCACTTAAGTGTGAATACTGAAACCCACTACCTCCCATGGTATTGTTCAGTCCCACTAAAATTAATCTTGAGATTGAAATTTTCCTTACCAAAATACCCTCCTAAAAAGTAAAAACCTTGAACTCCCTTCTCCTTCACAGCTCAAGCACGTTCACCATGGACGACCTCCTCCGTTGCCGGCAATGACCTCCTCCATTGTCAGGGATGACTTCTGCCTTACCCACGATGACTTGGATAAAAGCAATAGTTAACAAGCAGCAAATCTGGGATCAAGTCAAAAATGAAAGTAGATCTAGGTTTTAGAATTTGCGATGAAGATGACGAAGATGCAATTTCAGACCTGCCACAAAGTCGAAGATGAAAGTAGATTTGGGTTTCAGAATTTGCGATAAAGATGACGAAGATGCGATTTCAGATCTGCCACAAAGTTGAAGATGAAAGTAGATCTGGGTTTCAGAATTTGCGATGGAGATGACGAAGATGTGATTTCAGATCTGTCGTAAAGTCGAAGATGAAAGTAGATCGACCGCCTTCTTCTCCAGCTCCGCCGCATCCACCGTCGAGAAGCTCCAGATCCGAAGTGCAAAGCTCGTCCCTTGAATTGTGCACTGTTCATCTTCATGATTATTTTTTTATTAATAATAAGGGGCATTATGGTATTTTGTTCATTTTTGATGAATTAATAAAAGTATTCTCTCTAAATATTACTTCATACCAAACATATTTTTAAAGTCTCAACCCCAATCTCAATCCCAATCTCAGTCCCAATCCCAATCTTAATTCCAATCCCTCAAAGTTCATATATGCATACCAAACAGGGCCTTAGAGTCTTTCTTTGATATTAAAATACTATAGGAATCCTTAAATGATATATATATATATATATATATATATCTATATATATATATATGATATTTCAAAAGTCGAAACACGTTTTTATTACAAGCATTGACACTGTACTAGGGGTGCACATGGGTTGGGTTGGGCTGGGCAAAGCCTTGCCCGATGCCTTGTCCAAAGGATGTATGGGCTGGAAAATGTAGCCCGCCCAGCCCTGCTCGCAAAATGTCTTATTAGCTTGGGCTGGGCAGGGCAAGGTGAGCACTTTCGAGCCGCCCTGCCCATTAGATAATCTCTCTTTTTATCAATTTCAAATGAAACTACCATAAATCAACAACAATGACCTAGCCCATCAACTCAAAATAACATCCATAAAGATGTAAATCATAAATACAAAATAATAGCTATAATATCCAATTATCTATAATTCAGCATCTAACTTGAAATATAAAACTACCATAAGTCTTGACACATAGTGAAATTATCCATAATGCAATCCAAAATAATAGCTATAATAATCCATTAAAAACAATAAATTTTACAAAAGTTTGGAGCATCATGAAAAAAAAAAAATTTCACAGAGTAGACTTCAATTTACAAAAAGCTTTTTCCCAATTCCTCTTCTCTCTTTCCTTAAGTCTTAATAATTAATATAATTGATTCTTTAAAAAATTTAAAAAATATATTAATGTACTCGGGTTAGGCTAAACGAGCAGAGCATGCTACCCTGCCCGTGGCCCGACCTTGCCTGAATAATGCCCTACCCAAACATGCCCAAATCATCTCGGGCAACTTTTTTTAGGATCGGGTTGGGCAAAATTTTACTGAGTTCGGGCAAGCATATCGGGCAATCAGATTATATGCATATCCTTACACTGTACATGAGATTGATGAGCTGTACAGCGCATGATGGCTGGAGGGGCCGAAATCGTAGCCGAATAAAGCATCCATATCGGGGTGGTTGTATGTTTTGTAATAAAAAGCATTGGTAGATCAGGACACAGGTGATATGTTAGATTCTTATAGGCTTTCTTTGATTGACACTGTACATGATATTGATGAGCTGTACAGCACGCGATGGCTGGAGCGGCCGAAATCATAGCCGAATAAACAATCCATATCTGGGTGCTTGTACGTTTTGTAATAAAAAATTAAAAAGCATTGGCATATCAGGACACGGGTGAATTTATCATTTGTGGCTGCGTTTCTTTAAGCATTATTTAATAACACGTGATAATAGCTTATGATTTTTCTGCTGCCATCCATTAAACTATTATGAGTTTAAGCCCTTAGGACTGTTTTTTCTTGTCCTTAAACTATTCATGCTGACAGAGTGAATAACGTAAAAATGTGCGATTAAATGTAAGAAACTGAATAAAACTTGTAATGATATTATTTGTTACCACAATAATTATAAAAAGAGCTTTTTTTAATATAAAGTTTGTAAAAAATTAGTTATGTAATCAACTTTGTATAATTATAATTTTAACTTTTATATTAAATATTTAAACCTTTTAATTATTAGATATGTGAAGTTATAGTTGTAAAAAATAAAAGTGATAGTTGTAAATTAGTAATGAAGTAGTTGCAAATAATTAGTGTTAAACTTTATTAATGAAACATAATTGATTTAACTATTAGATATGTGAAGTTATAATTGTAAAAAGATTATGACTGTTGGAGAATTATTCATTTTACATAAAAATTCTTTTACTTCACTTAAAACTGAATTCTCATGTGATGGCCAGTTAGTTGAGGTTTTCCACAGACATGCTTGATTGGCTACACAAAGTTTCCCTTTACTGTCAAGATGGTAGGGATATGATAGACAATAAAGAAACAGTAAGCCTTTTGTCTATTTAGTAGCACTTTCAATTATAATCGACTCAATTACTTGAGATGATTCCTTTCGCCATTTGGATATTAGTGCAAACCAATCAAGAAACTTCTAAAGGTTTGATCCTTCATTGGTAGAGTCATAGAGATAATGATATATTTCTAATGGGGAAAGAGCTAAAGCACCAATATGGAAGGTTGAAAGAGACCAAAGGTACCACATAAGTTCATCTAGTGTAAGGCCTTTGATGAAAGGTATAGCAAGGTAAGGGGTTTGAATGTCAAAGAATTCAAGATGTGGCTGGAGCTAGGTATTTTGAAGAAGAAGGTGGAGCTAAAAGAAGAGACTTCTTCTAGCTAACTTTTGGACTTTATGGACTATGGTAGGGTAATGACCAAGAGAGAAAACTAGTTGACTAGGCATGATGTTAAGGATGAAGAGAGGTTGAATTTGAGGGGTGTTATGAGGTCAATCCTTTTTTAGGGTCTGGTGAGGTAGTCTACAATGGTATTGTGGTTTTCCTTTGATATGTCGAACTGTGAGCAGGAAAATCAATCTTTCCATTAAAGAAGTTGAGCTTCAGAGAGAATCTTCCTGCTTTGATCAAGGATCTTTGGGAATGACGCGTTGTCCATTTCCACAATAAAGTGGTAGGGGTAGAGATGAAAGCTAAACTTTTCAATGCCATGTTTCATAGCTAAGATTTCCTTGTAAGGTATGTGGTAGTGCTTTTCAAAAGGTTTGAATTCAACACTAGCATGACCATAGTAATATCTTTTCCTATTTTTTTTCTTTATGAATACTGCTCCCCAATAATCATTACTTGCATTTATTTGTAAAATTCTTTGTCCTTTGTTAGGAATCCTTAGTGGAGGAGGATGACGAACTTGCTTTAAGTGCTAGATAGCTTTTGTATATCTAGAACCCAAAGGCAGTGGATTTTTTCACAATATTTTGGACAGCTGGCTGGTGTGATGAGATACCTGAGGAATAAAGTCCTTGATATAATTTATTGTACCCAAGAACTGTTGGATCTCAATTTTGGATAAGTTTTCAATATGAAAATTTAGTAATTCCTCATCAATATATGAATTAGGCTAATATTGTCCATCTTGGATAAGCATTCACTTATGTGACCTTGACGGGCTGAAAGCATAATCCCATACTATTGACTTATTTTGTTAAATTTGAACAGCACATTTTTGTGTTCCTATTCAGATTCTAAGAACAGTAGGATATCATCTATGTATACTAGAGCATTATCGATAATGGGCTTGAAGATTCAAATTATGGCCTTTTGAAATAGTGATGGGACAATTTTGAACCTAAAGGGCATAACTGTCCATTAATATAGGGCATTATGAATGCAAAAGGCCATCTTGTAATTGTCTATAAGATCTATTCATAGTTGCCAGAATCCTACTTTGAAATCATATTTTGAAAATATTTTTGGGCCTTACTCCGGTCTTAGTCTTCTCGAACTTCAATCTAGCCTAATTACAAGGTCGCTCAATGATCTAATAACTTCAGTAGCAATCCGAAAACACCATCAATTCATTAATAACTCAATTTTATTAGTTTACCCTTCTTAACACTTAAAATATACAAATTG